AAAAAATGACGATTAAGCATCTCTCATGAGAAGAAATACAAAGATAATATAAATTTTTCCTTCCCTTCTTCTTTATTTGTGTAGGACTTGGCACAAAATTCAAGGGAAATTCAATTATTGTGCAGATTATAATCTTGAAATATTGTTAACTTTATGAATTTTAAAATTCACTTGTCATGATTGTATTTATTACCATCACAGAACAAAAAATTTGAGAAATTTAACATATACATCAAATATAAGAGAGCATGAATTTCAAAAATATCCATCAGTTGACGAAAAAGATGACTTGGCAAACCATGGTTCACCAGGAGTAACACAAGAGCCCTCATATATTTGCTCGTTTCACCCCAGTCAGACAAAATGCACCCCTCTAATGTGAATGGAAGTTAGTGACCTGTTCAAAGGGGACTTTAGTCAAGACAATCTGTATGACCTTTACCGTTGAACCCATCTGACAACTTGGATGGACGAAACAATCCACCCATACTAGTATGCCGACCCACAGACGGTTGTCCGGTACTAGTACCCGACCATATGCTTTTCCAGACTATCGATTTTATTAATTCATATTACTCAAAATACCCCAGCTCTCTACCTTATTAAAGGTACAAAATATAATTTAACAACTCTCAAATATTTAAATAGGGGGTTCATTTCATGAATAATGTTACATAATTGTACTGCTCATTACCGTGCTCTCCCTGCATTTTTCCTTTCTTCTACGCTCTATTCCTTGGGTGTATCTCCAAGTCAGTTTCAAATTCAACAACATAAGAATACTTTGGTGTTACTGCAAAAATAATACCTTTTTCTCTACAACGTTACATTGCCTTTCTACTTAAATTATTAAGAAATCATACATAATGCTAATACTATAGTATAAAAAGTTGGTGCTTCAAATTACAATTACCTGCAACCCACTGCAATAATGCATACTATCACGAAATAACTTTCTTGAAACAAACTATTCAACCTTAACAAACGTCATTGGAAGTAAGCTAGCTTCAACAAACATTATATATATATATATATATATATATATATATATCCGCGTACTACGGCCTGTTGGTTGGCATCCACAGTATTATAATACCCCTCAGGTCGGGAGTTCGAATCCCCTCTGACACAGTTGACTTTAAGGAGTTTCTGACTATTCCTTTAATAAGATATATATGATACGACCAATAACAATTGAGTTTTATTTTATTTGATTTGCTTAGATATGCTTGGATTGTTATCAATAAGGAAGTGTTCCTAACACATAGGAGATTTTAGATTATAAATAAAAAATAGCTGTGTGTCTTGTGGAGATTTCTAGTAAATATTTATAATACTCTGCACTATTTCAAGGCATTAAGAATATTATAGAGATTTTAGATACTCCTAGAGTATTTCCAAACCATATACAACCTTCAATGGTCTTCAAAATGTATATGAATTTTGATAGAATCTTCTGGAACTTTCTAGAACATGGAATTAGAAAATGAGGTGAAATAGAAAGAGTGCTTTTATTCATCACATTGAGTCCAATTTAGTTTAAAAACACATTGTTTCTACAATATTTTTCACAAAATTTTTGTCTCTATCCTTTATTGAGTGTTTCCCCTCAACCCAATGATGAACCCAATAAAAATGATTAAATAAGTGTTCCTTCATGGGAATATATGTTATATGTTAGTCATCATTGTATATCCACTTTTTATTTTTTGAGATTTCATTATTGTTTTTATTATTTGATTTTTTTTTAATCATAGTTATATTATATTAACCTTTTAATGATTTTTTACTTAGGAGATGAAAGGACATGCTAGCTTTTAGAGAGTTATTTAACATTGATAATAAGAATGATGCAAATCACTTGGAGACTATTTTATTTTATTAGGATTTATACAATTTAATTTAAATTTTCTAACAGTTGCTTTTCTCAAGCTATGGACAAATAACATATTTCTAATATCATTGGCTTCCAAGCTACAGCTCTTTCTTGGAAGTAGGTGTGTCAAAAATTGACCCAACACATCAATTTGATTAGAATTCGACTAAAAAAATATATGTTTGAGTTCGCATGAATAAATTTTGGGTTGCATTTGGTTAAGGTATTCTAACTCGTTTAATTTTTAAGTTTGGGTAGACTCGCTAACCCAAAATTGACCAGCAATTGAGCCTCTAACTTTAAATTAACTAACATTTGACTCACCAACCCAAAATTGACCCAATATTGATTCAATATCAACTTGAATTTAACCCAAAATTGACCCAAATAGATGATATGACTTATGTTGAAAGAGTTATATGGGCCGGGTTTGAGTAAGCGGGTTGAACACGACTCAAGTTTAGGTTGGACTTTCTATTTCACCTAATATTCGGGTCGGGTTTGAGTAGAGCAATTTTGAGTTGAATCAATTTTTTGTCTGGCCTAAACTGGACCTGTGAACCCGATTTGACACATTTACATAGAAACACCTTGGTATTACTATAAATACTTCTCATCTCTAAGGTACTGATTATCTTAAATGTCTTGACAACATGCAACACTGGCTAATGTTTGGAAACAAAAATCACTCTCTTTCAATATTAAATTTTTATCAGTTAAATTTATCATTTAAAATAATATTCAACACTAGTTTAAATCATCTATCATTCATAAAGATTAGAGTAAGAATTTATCATCTTGAATTAATAACTTTGTTGATTATAAGGAACCAAAAAAGCATATGTACTATTGCTTGAAACACAATTACAATCTCTTGTGGAAATGTAAAAGTATTTAGAGGTATTACAGTACTAATGATATCCCTTAGGTGTTATATATTATATGACTCACTTTGGTTTAAAGGAAAACATAGACCTTCTTCATTTTGGAGAGCTTTAATGCAAATTCTTATTAGGAAAAAGGAGACGTCTCTCCTATTAAGTGAATTAAAATAGCAAGCCTTTGTTCTTTTTTGATTCATCACTTAATGACACTTATCTTTATAGAAATTCAATAGTACTATTTTTCTCATCATTTAAAAATTCTATTAATAACACATTTTTAAAAATAACCAATCATAATAGTTGTTGGTCTTTATTTAACACCAACAATGTATGAGTAAGTTATTCTAAAATAATCTAAACATTCCCATTATTGATTCTACATTGAATTGCTAGTGGCAAGATAAAAGTAATTATTCTCAGTAAAATATTTATTCTTTTCTTTATGATGATCACCTCAAAGTCGGTTGGAGCAAGTTTCTCGGGATCAAAGACCATTCATTTCAATATGATGTGAAGTTGTAGAAATTTCTTATTGAAGGCTTATAACTAAAGATGTTCTTTTGCATAAAGGTCTTGAAGTTAATATTAAATGTGTTACTTATCTTATTTAGATTAAAACTCATTCACATTTATTTTTTGAGTGCCCTTATTTCCTCATTATACTCTATGTTTGTATCCTTATGATAACTTCTTTCACATAGGCTGCATTCTAATTTAATTATTGATTCATGGTGACACTTCAAGTTTCAAATTTGCCAAAAAAAATTTTCTGATAGTAGTCCACATCGCATCTCATTATTTATGGTTGGAGAGAAATATTTAAATTTTCTCAAATGTGGCTTCTCTTTTGGATATCCTCAAAAATAAAATTCATTTTGTTATTGGTTTGAAAGGGAATTTACTCCTACAATTAGCAATCTTTATGCTTTATAGTTTCTTGACATGTCTTGTGGCTTTCTTTTGGTCTTATATAGTTATTTTTTTTATTTATTTTGGATATCTCTTTGATTATCTTATCTTTTTTTATGGCTCATTTGGGTAGAATGTATAATATTATATTTATCAATTGAGAATCAACTAGTTGCTCAATTCATCTACTTTTTTTTGTTATTCACAAATATTTTTGATGACCAAATCTTATTGTTACAATGTTATGATTATTAGATACGACTATTCTAATATATTTGAAGTCTATTTTTGTTATTTTTGTTGTCACAACTATCAAATACCAATCATGATTTGTGCATATACGATTCTTACTAGATATTTCAGGTATCTAGTTATATTTGTTGATGGATATTTTTTTGTTTGTTCGATAATCTATTATACTATTTTTGATTGGCTACTGGTTGCTTTTGCTCCTCTCATCCCTATGCGTACTTTACCATATGTGCAGCTCCGCTCAAAAGTGGTTTTGCTGACATTCCTGATTGCATAATCTCTTACCTTTTTTTTTTTTTGGAACATTGATGAAATCCTACAAATCATATGAGTCTCAACCATTTATCCTTTTCAAACATATTAATATTGGCTTGGGATCTTTTTTGAAGCTCGAGTAGCCGCTGCATGTCATGGCTATCCAATTCTATATTTGGCTTTCCAGTATAGAAATTATCTATTGGATACTACCAAGTTGTTTATATATAATTAGTTAGGTGGTTTTGTCTTGTCTCTTTCTCAGGCTGCTAGTAATTACTCTCTTCTTCATTAGTTTATCCTTCTCGCTAGGATGTTTTGTTGTCTGCTGGAACTATTTATGCCATATGTTTTGCGACCAATTTAGATAGCTCACTTGCAAAATCAGATTAAATCCAATGATGAATTGGATTATAATTTTTGCTGAAGAATTGTCGAATTAGATAGCTTTGAACGAAGAACAAGATTTTTTATTAGCTCAGTCGAATTTCATTTTTGTAAGCAATTTTTCATTCTACTTGATGTTTTTTTAAGCCTTTGCATATTATCATTTTTTTTCTTTATATTTGATTGCAATTAATATCATATACTTTTTGCTCTAAAAGTAAATAAAAAAAAGAGAATTATATACATCATCCCTCACATTAATATTTATAAATTAGTCATTTAGGTAAATTTTTTTGAACTATTTAATTGATATATTTACAAGTACCAAAAAAATGAGTGAGTTTTAGCATGAATTTGGATATTTGAGCTTGAATATGAAAAATGGATGAAAGAGGGTATCGGGTGGTCTTTATGTAATTATCTCAAAAAATCAAGAGTTAAATCTTTTTTTCCCTGCGATTCGTCGTTCTTCTATCGCAGCGCCATTGATTTCCCCGGGGCACCTGAAAGTAAAGCAATGCGAGGGCTTCTGCTTCTTCTCCTGCTTCATTTATCTCTACTTCTACACCCGTCTTCAACATCACCTGTCCTCGCGGGAAAGGAAAGCGGAGGAACTAATGCAGTGGAGGATATTCTTCGGCGGGGAGAGACACTGCGAGCTTCTCCTTCCGTGCAGTTGGCTGCAGCGCAAGGCGTCCTTCTCCGTTTGCTCCCGAGTCACAACTCCAGTTTCCTTCTAAAGGTCGTTCCCAAGGTAGGCGTGTGGTTTGCTAAGTTATAGGTTCGTAGAAAATTCGATCCTCTCAAGGCATCTTGAATTATTTTTTTTGATATTCAACTCTTAGGGGTTTTTTTGAGTTTAATATAGTTTTTCGATTGTTAGCATTTGTGGGATGTATGATTGTCTTGTGTGTTCTAACAGGGTCTATGCGAACGATTCAGCTGCTTCCGTATAGGCAATGTCGCCAATTCGACTCCAAATGGGCCAGAAATAATGTAATAACCTATCTGGATTACTCAGATATTTGTCTTTTATGCTATCTGGTTTTTCTTCCTCTCGTGGATTGAGTTTTGGATGCAAAATTTTTTTTGGATTCTCGATGTGCAAATGCCAAATTTCATTTGCTTCATGCAGCTTTGTATCGTTGAAATGCTTAAAGGTTTTAAATTAGGTTCTGGTCAATCAGCTGCAATATGTCAGCATTTTCTTGCACTTTTGTTTAGTCCATGTTTGTTCTCCAGATCCTGTAATTCTACATAACGGTTCTTTCTATTCAGTGTTTTTTTTTTTGGTAATATTTTATTACTAAGATAGTTTTTGTGGCATTTTCACTTATGAACAAGTTTTGGTCGTTAAAATGAGCACTTTTGTTTTTGAAACTCAGGATTGAGGGCAGTACAGCTGTTGAGGTTTCATTTGGCCTTCACTGGTATTTGAAATACTGGTGTGGTGTTCATATTTCATGGGATAAGACGGGTGGAGTTCAAGTGGCTACCGTTCCTTCGCCGGGGTCATTACCACGTGTGCAAGGGAGAAGTGTAAAGGTTGAACGTCCAGTTCCATGGAACTATTATCAGAATGTTGTTACATCAAGCTGTGAGTGCGTTGTATTTTTTTTTTCTTCCGGAGGTCTGCCTTTTTCTATCACTATATTCCCCTTGCAGGAACATGATGAATATGTTGGATATCAAACAAATTTAAAGTTAGCCATTCTTTTATCTTTCCACAACATCTAGAAACGTGTATTATTTTTTTTCTTCCGGAGGTCTGCCTTTTTCTATCGCTATATTCCCCTTGCAGGAACATGATGAACATGTTGGATATCAAACAAATTTAAAGTAGCCATTCTTTTATCTTTCCACAACATCTAGAAACCGTTTGATCTATATAATTTGATGCAATATCCTAACAATATATTATGTCTATCAGTTCAAAATAGCTTTGCTGCTTGTTTTTTGCTTCTCTCTACTAGCCAGCCGGGGTAGATTGCTGATTATGTGCCCTAAAAATTCAAAAAATCCTTAGAAGTTTATATTGAAAGCAACTATAATTGCTACTCTCTAGCAATGCCATGTATATCCATATCCAAATGCTTCTTATAGCTTTAGCAAGCCATCAAACCTCAAAATGTGACAAAACGGTCAAAATTAAGAAGGTAGAGTCATAGGTATAGGGTTTAAACTTAGAGAATGTTATGTTGAATATCACACATATGAGTAAAATAAACAAAAAAGAAGAAGTATTTAAAACAATTACCTGACGTGCATACGGGTAAAGATATTAGATAACTTGTTAATTCTTTATGTGACAACAATTGGTGCGGCAGAAGCAAAAATCTTTGTGAACTTCAACATTTTTATTGTTGAGAAGTAAATAATTTTCTGTAGAGGAAGGACTCAGGAGGCAAAGGAAGAAGGCAATTAAGAAGATTAGAAGAATGATTTTTGAAGGGAGGCAGGAGGTAATGAGAGGGAAACCATGAAGAGATTCTTTGGGAAGGGTAGAATCAATGCTTGTACAAGATGCCAATTTTTTTTTTTTATTCTATCATCAATGATCTAATTTCATAATGCCAATTACTATTTATAATTAAATACTTTTTTTAAAATGACAAAGCTACCCTAAAAGAAATAACGAAATACCAAATTGAGCCTAAAATGACCCTAACCATTTATAATTAACTTAAATACAGCTAAGAATGATCACATTATGTATGACATAATATTGAAAGAATAAGGACTCCGAGGTGGATGTGTTGTACCCTGATAATTCTAGTGTTGTGGAGCATCCAATTTCAGATTATTGAAATGTTGTTGAAGGAAGAATTGTATGTTCTTAATTGCATTATAGAGCTACCATAATTTATCAAAAAGAAGGTAGATGATGGAAAAATTCATTCCAATGAGGATGTCATAAATTAGATGGAAAGTTCATATTAGGGGTAGTTTGAACTAGATTGTTATGTAAGGTCATGAAAATTAGTTTGGTATATAAGATCGGCACATGATGGGTAAAAATAATTTATGAGAAGATATCATTGAACCTTAATATAGATCAGCTTTGATACCAATTGTAAAAACAGGCTTTATTCAAAATCAGCTTTGATACCAATTGACGATCAGCTTTGATCCTCATTGTAAAAACTTTTTAGATTTATGAACATCAGCTTTGATACCAATTGACGATGAGCAAGATAGTGAAAGTGGAAATTGTGATTAGCTTTTGATAGTTGATTTTTTACTAATAGAATAGTTGTGTAGATGGAGAACTGATGAGATAAAGAAAATGTGATTTGAAAGATTAGAATGAATGCTTAAAAGAAGGGAGATAAGTGGAAGCTAGAAAGAAGCATGAATAACCTCTTGGAGAAAGTGACAAATCAATCTCCAGTCGAGATGCCAAAAAAAATCCTTTTTTTTATTTCTGACCCGCCCTAGACACTATTTGTAATAACAGGCCTTATTCAAAATGACGAAAATATTCTTGATGAAAGGAAAAAAAAAACAAATTATGCTAAATAAATAATGACACTTTAACCACTGTTTATCAACTCAAATACAACAAATGGCAATCACATAATACATTAATGAATTCTGAAAGCATATGAATTCTGATGTTGGCCACTTGAACTTCATCATTAGGCACTCAGAATATTGGAGAACGTTTACTATATGAGCTTGGAATGAAGTAATGTTCCAGCATATCTGTTTTGAGTTGAGAAACCTAATACAAATACTCCAAAAAAAAAAAAAAAGATTACTTTTCTTTATAGTAGTTTGGGTATGCCATAAAATGATGTTTCTTTTGGATGTGTGATTACGTGAAAAACTACTTATGCATCACCTTTAGCAGGAGCTTTGTATTTTACTAGCATTAACTTGAACATTTGATGCGAATCGAAGCCAAAATCAGCAAACAAATTACAAGTAATATTTGAGAAAATTCAAATTAGGGCTAATTGATTAATCTCCAAGCAAATAAACAAGATACAAGAGGCGAACTATAATTCGTGAGGTCTCTCCAGAAACGTTAGACTCGGCTAGGAACAAGAAGACACAGAATACTGTAGGAATCAAAACATAAAAACAATTCCTAGGTGATCAGCCCAATCAAAACACCTCCAAAACACTTCAAACTTCCCCCTAGGACACATTCAAACTTTTTCTCCAATTGTTCGCATCACATACGTGATTAGAGGCTTAATGGGCCCCACCTAGGGATTGGAATCATCTTAAGAGGGATTGGGGTTTCCACCTCTTAGGCTGGGTCGGGCCGGTCCATGAGGGATTGACGTAGCAACACTTTCCTCCCAAAGAAGCACGTTGTCCTCAAGGTGGAATGATGAAAATTGATTTTGGATTACTTTATAAGGCTCTCAAGTTTCTTTATAATCTGATAGATTCTTCCACTTAATCAACACCTTCTTTGCCTCAGTCACTCCTTAGCATTCCCATTCTATCTCCAAAGGTTCCAAAACTACCTTCATGTCCTCTACCACCATCGGAGTTAGTGAAGACGAGGGTGTGTGGTCTCCGATAGCACGCCTCAACAGTGATACATGAAATGCTGGATGCAATGATGATGATGGTGGCAACCTCAGATGGTATGTCAATGATTCAATGCATGCCACGATCTCATATGGTCAAAAATATTGCGGGGAATGCTTATCATTCCTTCTCATGGTCAGTGTGTTCTACCTGTAAGATCTTAACTTCAAATGAACCATGCCCCGACCGGGCTCAAGTTCTACTTCCCTCATATGTCCAGTCCATCAACCTTTCTCTTCATGATTTATTGGACCTTGAGTAGATGCCCCTTGAGCTCCGCTAATATGTTGCCTCTCTCTTCTAAGTACTGGTTTATAGTGGATGCTGGTGCAGTACTATGCCTATAGTATATCATGTGAGGTGGATCCCGCCTATACAAAATCCTAAAATGAGTGGTTTGTGCTGCAATATATGTGATGTGCTGTACCAATACTTAGACCAAGGAATCCACCTTGCCCAAAGTTTCAACATATCTGGGCTAAGGGTATAAATGAGCCGAACTTCTGACTAATCTTTGAGAAAATGTTACTTGGGTTTGTCTCCACACTCTTCTTGATCACTTTTGTCTGGTCATTTGTCTGCGATAAGGGTATAAATGAGCTGATCTTGAGCTAGCTCAAGGCTTGGTCATTTTTGGCTCATGTTCAAAATGACTCATTAATAAACTATTCGTGTTTGGCTCGATTCAAACTAATTTGTTGGAATTAAGTTCATGTTCTACTCAAATATAATTAATTAAATTTTTATTATTTAAAAATAATTATTTTTACTGAGCATTGGTTTGGATATTTCATTTCTTCACCACTCAACTTTTTTTATCAGAAATGCCCGATATTTGCATATAAAAAGCTTTTCTCATAACTACATTACCTCACATTCCAATGTGGGACTAACAAATGCCATGTAGAAGTTGCGGGTCCTATCATTCCCTCCCACCGTTATTGCAGGCAAAAGTTAATTTAATTTTTATTTTTAAGTACATTTACATACTAAACGCCCAAATCCTATGTATTTAAATATCTCAGTCTGTAGAATTTGCGAGACTTGGCCACTCAATTAATTTAATTTTTTATTTTAAGGGACATTTACATACATACCGCCCAAATTCTAGTTTTTTTTAATAATAATAACACCCAAATAATTTAAAAAATAATAAAGTTTAGCCTTTTTTTAAATACATATAAAAAATTATTATAAAAAGATATAAATAAATATTAATATTTAATTTTTTAATTATTTTGAGCCGAAAAGAGCCACACATGAATGAACAAATTTTTTTTTTTCGTGTTTGGCTCTTTTATTATTAGAGCTCAAAAAAATTTTTCGTGTTTGGTGCGCCTGCTTAACAAACGAATCGAACACGAGTTATTTAACAAGTTAAACATGAGCTATTTAATAAGCTAAACACGAGTTTTTCGCGCGAATGACGAGCTTTTTTGTTAACCCTAGTATGAGGATGATATACTATACTCTTCTTTAGGATTGTTCCTTGTACTCTGAACGGTTTCTTCCAGAGATGACTGAGGAACACTCTGTTCCTATCTAATACAATGAATTTTGTAATACCATGCAAACAAATCACTTCCTGTATGAGCACAGTAGCAATTGAGATTAGTGTAAGGGTGTCACAATGGAATGAAGTGTGCATTCTTGCTCAAATGATCAACTACCAAAAATATCACAATAAATCCCTCTTATCCTGGCAACTCCTCTATACAATCCATCGTCACCTCCTCCCAGACTTTCTTAAATAAAGCTCGGGGTTGCTTTAACCCTCTCGGCGCTATTGTCAAATAATTGTTATTGACACTCATCACATCTCACCGTCTTGTATTCTACTTCTCTATGCAACCCACCTAATATAGCACTGTTGACGGTTAACTGTATGCTTTCTGTATCCCTGAGTGCCCCCAATTGCATTGCTGTAAAATTCCTGCAACAATTTGAGGATGTACTCTAATGCTCTTGGTAACATGAATCTTTTTTGGTAGAGTAGCTGTTGCTCCCTCAATGCATATCCTGGATGACTGTTCGGAGCTTGTAGCAACT